CCATAAAGGAGTTAAGTCATTATGAAAACGGTCTCATTGTATATGGTGCTGTAGGTGTATTGTGTTGTAAGAGGTTTAAATAGTACTTCCATTGAATTTATAACCTCTATTTAAGCACATTAAAATTTTATAGTCTTCTTACTCTAGTGCTTTCACTAGTTCCTCCCTGCAGTTCATTTGTGGATAACCTGGAAACTTTATAGAAGTGGGTAATTCATTCTAAGACGTGTGGTTTTACTACCAAAGTAATGGAATATTGTTTCCACTAACCACCAGTTTCAGGGGCCACTAACCACCAGTTTCAGGGGGACCTTCTACCACCGGCCACCAATGTAAGCAGGCGATTCACAACTGTCCTTCATTATAATGGGCATTTACCCACAGACTACGAATGGAAAAAGACTTTTCTCTACTGACCACAGAAGTAAAAGTGCTTTTCTCCACTGACCATTGATGTAAAGAGGCATATATCCACTGATCACCAAAGAGTGCGTTTCTCCACTGACCACCAATGTAAGAGGGCGTTTCCCTATTGACCACCAATATAAGGAGGTCCTTTAACCACTAACCACTGATGTAAGGAGGTATATCTCCACTGATCACCAAAGAGTGAGTTTTCTCCACTGACCACCAATGTAAGAGGGTGTTTCCTTACTGACCACCAATAAAGGGGGTCCTTTAACCACTAACCACTGATGTAAGGAGGCATATCTCCACAGACCACCAATGTAAGGGTGCATTTTCGAACTGAGCACCAATGTAAAGGCAGACCACCAACATAAACATCACTACAGTTTTTACTATCCATATTTCTTCCCCAGTCAATATTATTGGTATCAACTTTATTTAATGATTAATGAAGACAATATGCTGCATTCTTTATTTTTTGTATTTATTCTTGAATTTACAACTTACTGATCTCGCTAATGCACAGATTAAAACATTTTTAGACAGGGTTCTTTAATGGTAATATGTGTGTTAAAGTCTAAACTAAAGTCTGGAAAAGCCCTAAATCATGACGCCAGGTCGACCATGCTGGGGGGTTGACCTCCCCCTCCAAACAAGACAGTATATTAGTGAGTGATGACTACATTTGTACATTTATGGAAACTTAAAACTGCTGAGTGAATTGCACCATCTGAAAATGCCAACTGTCTGGCTGCCACGCTGATCCACTCTCTCCAGTGCCTTAAGGCACAGGACTAGAACAGATGTGTAGATCAGGAGTTCTGACTTCACTCTGACTTTTTAAATGTCACGCTTGTTCCAGGTCCATGACACAGAAATGATAGAAGTCAAAGGCAGCCAGATAACAAGTATTCTCAGTAAACCACCAATGGTAGCCCCCATATTTCTCTCACTACATGTTTCCCTTTAAACCAAATACCATTTATGGTCCTTCTTAATCCACTCATACTATATGTGCATTGCCAAGGTCAAAATTTTGGGTGGCCAGAAATTTTGACCTGTTATATGAATATAAGGTTGGTTGGGATTTATGTAGCAATGTCATTCTAGAGCACCACAGTTAATGGGAGGATATGACTGTATCATCTTATAGTTACTCTAACTAAACTCCATTTTCCTGTGCTTACACTGTATCAGAAGTTCTAAAGCTCTTAGTGTTTATCCTTTGCTTTAGGTGACACTCTAGAAAGGTTCACATATTTAGAAGAGTTCCTTCCTGAGAAATGTGCAGACTATAGACATCTCCATGGGCATGTTTCTGTTGTAGCACATGGGGCTGTTCGGTGCCGAATTCTAGAATGGGAATGCATCACAGGTTCCCTGTTAGCCTTAGAGGGTACGGAGTTAGTCATGGCAACTTATGATGGGCTCAAAGATGTTTCTGGTTTACGTATCGCTAGCTAAAAAAAACAAACAAACATCCATTCAAACTGCATATTGTTCATATTGTCTTGCAGTAAAGACTTGAAAAGTATTTACTTTTAATTTTTGACCTTTAAATGCTGTTTGCATTGTCTCATGTTGCATTTGATTTTTGCTGCTGGGGTTATATGCTATTAAAGCGCATTCTTACTGTAAACTAAAAAGCACCACCCTTTGACGTCAATATGCTTTAGGACTAAATGTCAGTCTTAACAGCAAAGTATGCAATTTAGAAACAAGCAACTGAAAAAATACTGTTTTCTTCTAATTTTTAAAACATACTTGCCAACCACTTCCCAAAAGAAATGACAGTGTGGCTGTGGTTGTCACTTAGCACAATAAAGTAGCTGAAAATGTTGGTCATCACTAGTGAAAAGAAAGTGATCCAAAATTGTTGAGTGGCTGTAACCCTGGTCAGCTTCTGTGTTCTTTTTGGGTTCAGATAGTCAATATGTTTTTTTTCCTTTTTTTTTTGCTTGCTATGACAGGCATATGAGCTAATATTGCTGTAGTAAACACACATGCCTCAGCTTTTTTTAATACTGGCCTGTATGTCCTTGAGTATCTCAAGATTTCTAGAAGAGTGCCTACGACAAATGGAACCACCTTCTGAACCTACCATGCTAGTCATCTTATTCCTTGAAAATGTGTATTTATGGAAAGATTTAAAGTGTCATTAAACCCACATCATTAAAAACTATCAATAAATGCTATATTGCATGTTGTTCATACTCACTCTGCTGTTCTCTGTCTCCCCTTTCTGTCCATGTCCCTGCTGCAGCTGGGGATTTTCCAGAGCAGTGTTGGCAGCTAGTGCACATGCTTCATTTTCAGTGTTTCTCTACCCTGAGCATTTCCTCCCTATCACATCTGAGCAGCCCAAGTGACTGTAGAATCACACATGTAGGCATATACACAGTGGTAAATGACAGCTCACTCCTCCTCCATGCCCACTAACCAGCAAAACACAATTATTATTATTATTATTACATCGAGTATATATAGCGCCAAAGGGTTTGCTCAGCGCTGTACAATAGGGGGGACAATACATGGCACAGTACAACAAAAACAGACAACGTACGAGGGGTAAGAGGGCCCTACTCTTTCAAGCTTACAATCTAGGAGGGAGGGGGGGGGTAGTGGAACAATAGGAAGTGGCTGAGGGGAATGAAGTGGTGGGAGGAATGAGGGAGAATGGCCATTAGGTGAGGGTGGGGTAGGCTTCCCTGAAGAGATGGGTTTTGAGGGAGCGCCTGAATGTGGGGAGGGAAGGCGACAGTCGGATGGATTGGGGCAGTGAGTTCCAGAGGATAGGGGGGACCTGGTCCTGCAGTCGTGCATGGGAGGAGGAGACCAGGGAGCAGGATAGAAGGAGGTCCTGTGAGGAGCGAAGGGTACGGGTAGGGTGGTACTTGGGGATCAGGTTGGTGAGGTAGTCAGGGGCAGTGTTATGAACGGCTTTGTAGGTCAGGATTAGAAGTTTAAATTTGATGCATTGGGCAATCAGGAGCCAGTGGAGGGAGAGGCAGAGGGGGGTGGCAGAGGTGGAGCGGGTGGTGAGGTGGATGAGTCTGGCCGCTGAGTTCAGGATGGTCTGGAGCGGGGAGAGCCTGCACTTGGGTAGGCCAGTGAGAAGAGAGTTGCAGTAGTCAAGGCGTGAGATGATGAGGGAGTAAACAAGAAGTTTGGTGGTGTCTGGGTGAGGAAGGCACGTATCTTGGCAATATTGCGGAGATGGAGCCTGCAGGTGTTTGTAAGTGATTTGACATGAGGCAGGAAGGAGAGGTTCGAGAATGGGTGGGAATGGGATATTACATCTTGACTGACGGAGGCTTCACCTCCCTGTTATTGTAAGACACAGGCTGGAGGGGGGCGTGGCACAGCTTGTGACTTGCAGAAATCCACCCACACCATGTTATTGCCAAAAAATAATAAAGATTTAATTACAAATATATATTTGTGTGACAATTTAAAACAGTTTGATATTAATTATTTTTACTCTGTATCACACAGGTTTTTTTTTTAACATGTGACCAGTAGCAGAGGACTAGAAGCTCCTCCTTGCATCTGTTTCACTGTGAACAGGTTATGGAAGAGCTAGATCATGTGACAGCTGTATACCAATTAGGAAAAAAGGTGCTTAGATGTTATGTTTTTTATTAAAATTATTGCAGTGTCATCATCCATCTACAGAAAGAGAAAAGATATTGAAAATTAAACAGTGTGTGTGTTTAGTATCACTTTAAGAAAGCATTGCTTTCCATTTTCTGTACTTTTGAGCTCAGTGAAAATTTAGGGGCTCTAGAGAAGCTCTGGATGTCTAGACCACAAAACAGTAGAAACCTTGGATTGTAAGCTCCTTGAACTGGGACTGACGTGAATGTGCAATATGTACGTAAATTGTTGATGTTATATACTGTGAATGCCTGTAATAAATACAGGGGATTTAAAAAATTATGCAAACACCAGGTAAAAGAACAAAATCATTACCTAATATGGTGTTGGACCGCTATTGGCATCCAAGACGGCCTGAATTCTCCTGGGAATTGGCAAATATAAGTCTTGGCTGGTGGATAATGGAATCTCACACCACTCTTCATGCAAAAATAATTCCAGCCCTCGCAGAGATGCCGGACGTGGAAAATGAGCCTGAACCTTGTTCTCCAAAATTGACCATAGTGACTCTATGACACTGAGGTCCAGCAATTGTGGCACCCAGGTAAGGTGCAAGGCTTTGTCTGCATGCTTGTATGCACCCTGGGGTGTACATGGTTGGCCAAAATTTGTACACAGTCACTGGCTGTGACTCTACCTTGCAATGTGATGATGGGGCCTGCAAAATACCATAATATAGCTGCCCAAACCATGATTGCGCCACCACCATGCTTCACTGTTGGCACAAGACAGTCCTGGTTGTAAATTTGGGACGGTCACTAGTGGTTTGGCAGTTGCAGCTCGCCCGTGAATGTTTTGCCAATGGAGTTCCCTCAATACAGTTTTTGTGAACACGGCCTTTGGAAGACTGATATTGAGCTCTGCAGTCACTTTTGCAGCAGCTGTTTACTTATTCCGAGTCACAATGCTGCACAATGTCCTTTTGTCTCTTTCAGTCAGTTGACCATGTCAGTTGTGCTTATGCTTATCAAACAATGTTTTCCAAGAAACTGTATATGCTGTCATAACCTTTGATACTGTACCTCATGCCATAACAAATAAATTGGCAACTTTAGTCACAGAGGTACCAGCTAAGGGGGTACCAACAATTTGCTCTCTTTGAAGCTCAATAAGCTCTGACATGACTCCGTATTACTAACAGCGCACGCAGTGAATGATGAAAGTGAGGCTTCCCACCTGTTAGCTAGGTGTCTCATCACACAGCGGAAGCAAAAGAATGTTACATCACTTCCACAACGCAAAACATGTCCTCACATCTGCAAATCATGTAGTGTTTCCATATTTTTGTCCAACCCCTGTAAATAATAATGTACCTTATGGCACTTGCACCTCTATGCATGTGTAGGACTGTGTTGTCATCTAATAAATTAGATGCAGATAAGGAATTTACACTATATTTGCATAATGAGATTTACAGTGACACTATATTCATACAGTTTGTACAAGCCTTCAACTCCTGAGCAGGGGCGGACTGACAACTCATGGGGCCCCCGGGCAATAGGAGATCATGGGACCCCTGTGTCCTTGCCCACACTCAAAAAAGCCTATAAAAAAGGTACCAGGGGTATTTCATGGGGCCCCCTACTGACCCCGGGCCCTCGGGCAGTGCCAGAGTGCTTGAATGGTCAGTCCGCCCCTGCTCCTGAGATTGGATAATATGACACATTTTGTCATCGTGACATGTTCTGGAAAATTGTAATAGAACAGCTAAGGAACAAATTCTAATGAATGGCTGGAAATCACTTCATCTCTGCCCTGTTCACATCTGGAGCATAAAAGGGTTTCCATTCCATACACATGTTTATAACATCATAATAATCTCATTGTTAATATGCCAGATGAACAAACTTGCATGCATAAGCATATGTGTTTCAATGCCTTCTACTGTATAAGGGCTTCATTTGCTGAAAATATCTATTCTATTGATGCAGGCAGTATCATGAATCTCATTTCCCTTTAAATTCAAACTTGTTCTCCATGTCTGGCATGCACCATATCAGTTATTTTAATATTTCTGTATTTTCAGCTTTCTTATATTAGACATCTGTAGGTATAGTGAGACTTTGAAATGCAAATTTTAATTTCCCCTTGTCATTCTAAATGTTAATTTTCTGGGAAAGGCTTATAAGCCTGTTCATTCTTTGGATGTTTTGCATATTATCTGGAAAGCACATGTAAAAGTTTTCAGCCTGGCCACTTCCCAGAGTTATGAAATATACGATCTCCTGTGCTGTGGATAGAACTCTTCCTGCCCTTGTGTATATATTTACTCTCTGAATTGCTGAAAACTGATTTGTAGCTTTCTGAATATTTATAGCCTAAAACAGTTATAAACTTTGGTTCTTATGGAGGTTGAATAATCGTTTGTGTGTGTGTGTGTGTGTGTGTGTGTGTGTGTGTGTGTGTGTGTGTGTATATATATATATATATATATATATATATATATATATATGCTAGGTTAGGTTCAACACCTGCCAAGTTCATGCCCACAGCTGTGTAGAAATAGGGACACTGTACTGAATCTTTGTTGGTCATTGTGTTGCATCATGTTGACCTGGGTGCATCATGCAATGTTTAGGCCATACCAAGTTGGAAAAACTAGTTCTTGCAGTATCCTGTATGTCTATATGTCTGCCATGGAAGATATAAGGAGGGAGGTGTTTTATAACATACCAGGTTTGACATGTTTGCCACATATCAGACGGCATTCCAAATGTGACAAGTAACAGCTCTGTTACTCTAGTCCTTAGCTACATTAGTAGGGTTTTTCAGTTTCAAGTTTTTATGAAAAGGGTTTAGAGCTGAAACAGAAAAACAATGAATACATAAATGGAAACAGCAATTCGCATAACATAAATTAGGATCAGCTGCAGATCCATACCCATCAACTATCGAAGCATTCATTTTAACCGTAGACTCAAGTAGTGATTCTTAGAGGTAGTTATAGATTTCCCGGAGCTCTTGCAAGGGAAATGTTGTGATTGGGGCAGTAATGGCTATAGACTAGTATGGATTATCTTCGGTACAGTGAGGTCTAGGAGTGCTTACAAAAGATTAGGTGTATGTGTTCAGAGCTGATACTCCATGTAGAGGTGTTAGATGAAGGGGACTAGGTGAGGCAATAGAAACAAAAGGGTATCCGGAACATTGGTGGGGTTTTACAGGGACATCAACATCTCAGAATGTAAATCTTGGTCATCCTTATATTCCCGAGTTGGCTATTTTTGAGGCTTTTGTGTTAGGATGCCTAATATGGACATGTTTGTTCCGGGGGACTGACTCACTAAATAGCAACGCAGTGATAATGTAAAAATGATATGACAGTTCCAGAGCCGGGGCTTTCAAAAAAAAGTCGGCAATAGCAGATCCGTATTTCCATCTTGACAGATTATCTTAAAGTGGTTGTAATGGCTAGACATTTTTAACCTTAATTCTTTTCCTGCATTAAGGTAAAAAAAAGTCTCAATACCTGTATTGCACCCTCACCCCCCCCCGTTTACTTGACCTGAGTTCTATCCCGATCCTGCACCTTGCCCATCTGCAGTGGCTCTATTCTCACTCTTCCCACAGAGGCAGCAGCGCGAGCCATTGGCTCCTGTTGCTGTCAGTCAGATCCTGTGAGCAGTGAACCAGGGGTTGCACTGTATGTATCAATAGACGCACACAGCTTGGCTCAGGATTGAGCCTGCAGGTGTGCCCCCATAACAAGCAGCTTGCTATGGGGGCACAAAGGAGAAGAGTAGCCAAGAGTGCCAGTGGGGGACCTCAGAAGAGGCAATTTGGGACCGCTATGTGCAATATCATTGTATCGAGCTGGTAAGTATAACATGTTTGTTGCTTTATATTAGAAAATGCCTTTACAACCACTTTAAAAGCAGCATTAATCTTTTTAGGCACAAGGTATATCGGGTTAATGTCACTGAACTGAAGGGTCTGCTTGGTATAACAACTTGTTACAATATTAATACAGAGCACAGCTGTAGAAAGTTTGTTACATCCTATTTTCTCTTCCTTTAAGAGCACATTTATCCATAGAATTGGCATGCTATTTGAAGAATAAAATAAGACTCATTGTTGCTCCTTGTGTGTTAATTGGGTTGGAATCAAGTCATTTGGTTTTGTTATATCATTCGTTCAGAATTATTTGTTTACACTTAGAAATGGTTCTGACAAATGGCAGAATATACATTGGGAGAATAACTATTCATCCTGATTTAATTTGAACATAAAGGTTACAAAAAATTGAACTGGGATATATTGCTCCAGCAAAGTCGTGTCTCTCATCTAATGAGTTGACATGCTTGCATTATTAATTTTCTTTTCTTCATGTCTTGGTTTCTACCTTGTGGCAAAATATATTGTATATTTCCACTGCAGCACAAGCCTAGTGGACAGGGCGGATAAAACTCATGGAAATCTGTGTGAGCTGACTGTTCTACACCTGTGTGGACAGTCTGATTTGCAGTAGATTTTTCTCTCCATGGTGTACGTCAAAACTGACAGGTTTAGGAATTGACCTCTCAGCCCTGTCAGACCTGTCAGGTCGGCCCAACCTATGACCCTTGGGCCGACCCGACGCTCATACAGCCACATCTTAAAGTGGTTCTAAAGGCTCAAGGTTTTTTACCTTCATGCATTTTATTCATGACGGTGAAAAACCTTCTGTGTACATCAACCCCCTTATATTTACCTGAGCCCATTGTGATCCAGCGATTTGCACAAGAGACTTGTCTCTCCAAGGATTCTCCATCCTCATTGGCTGAGACAGCAGCAGGAGCAATGGGATCCCTCTGTTGTCAATCACAGCCAGTGAGCCAATGAGGAGAGGGGTGGGGCATAACCACTGCTCAGTGTGTGAATGGACACACAGAGCAGCGGCTTGGGAGCAAGCCTGCTTGGGTGCCCTCATAGGTTTGCAAAACCACTGCACAAAGCAAGTAAATATAACATGTTTGTTATTATTATTTTTTTAATAATTGCCCTTAGTGTCACTTTAAATTCTGAGTAAGGTATCTGTTGGTTTTCATGGTCAGAAGCAGCATATATGTGGCTAACTACTGGAAGGGGAGGTTCAAAAGGGCAGAAGATTAAGTATGAGTATTGTGTCCTCTCTAGATTTTACTGGAATTCAGCAACTCTTAAATTTCCTAGTAAGTCAACAGTGTTACCCTTGGGGTGTCACTTGTGTGTTTCATTGCATTTCAACATAGTACACAACCAATGAAAGTACATTTAATGGAACCCCAGAGCACCTAGACAGTGTATCACATCATGTGTGTATTTTAGCACACCTCAACAAAGATCCATCTGTCCCCTACACAGGCAGCAAAACAAATAAAACCATAACATGTCTTAACCATTTCCTACTCTGTCCAAAAACCAAATTAGGCTTTAAATACTGTTTTATGTCATTTCAACGTTTTTTCTATTTTTTTAAAGTCTTTGTTGATAATTCATTATTCATTGAAATTATTCCTGATTCAAGTATTTCTTGTTCAGGCAATTTCTATTATGGGGTGATAATGATCTCTAATTGGGCAGTAACTATCTGTAATTGTGCTCCTGCAATTGTCACCCCATCACCTGCTCTGCTGCTGTCAAGGGTACAAGCATTGTGCAGGTATGGTCCACCATTGTCACTATCAAAAAAATGCTGTACTGCAGCCGATGCTGAAGAACGTGCACGTAGATGGGATTTGGCTGAAAGAGACCGGAGGAGGTCAGAAGTACTGTGATGAAAATGAAGATAAAAAAAAACCTAAAAACAGTATTTTAATAAAAAATAACAATTGTTTGACACACGGTGCTTTAGAAAACGAAATGTCAAATTAGAAATTAGTTTCGCCTAAAACATTATGGTATTGATTTACTAAAGGCAAATAGGCTGTTTACCTTGCAAGGGAATTTTCACTTTGGAAGTGAGTTTTCCCTTGGTTTAGTGAAGAAGGAAGCTCTGCTGACTTCCATCATCTGATCATGTGCAAGCAAAAATACTGTTTTTTTTTTGTTTTGTTTTTATTTCTTTAAGTTTCCTTACACACAATTGGGTATTCTTTGCAAAGTGAACTTTTACCACATACACTTAGCTAAGGGAAAATGTCCTTGCAAAGTGAAGTTAATTTATCTTTAAAAAATCTATTCCTATATGTCCATTATGCTAGATGCAGGTTTATAATGACCATTTCAAGCTAGATACTCAGTCCACTCTTGTTTTCCACCAGGCATCCTGGATGTTCTCAGATCTTTCAGCTTTGGCTAAATCTCTTT